ACGCATGTAAACACACACACAGACACACACACACACACACACACACACACACACACACACACAGACAGACCGGTCAGAGTCACACGTCTGACCTCCGGCTGATCAGTCCACCAATCACAGTCACAACACACACGCTATTAACAGAGAAACCTGTGCAACACGTCTGCTGCAGAAATGGGAGACTTGGCTAGTTTTATTAATACTTTGAATGAGTTTTTATAGTTTATTTTAATTTTAATTTTTAGTTAATATTTTATCTTTTTTTTTTTAAATATGTCTATATGGTTACACTTTATTTCCACTTTTGACTTTTGACATTCTACTAACTATAAGTAACTTTGCAACTACATGTCAACTAATTCTCATTAATTTGCAAATACATGTCTACTAACTCTCAGAGTAGACTGTTAGGTTAGGTTTAGGGTTAGTAGAAAAAGTTGACATATACTAGCAAAGTTTATTATATTCAGTATGTTGTATGTTGTGGACCCATCAAAATAAAGTGTTAGATTATTAGTAGACTGTCTGCTTAATATTTTCTAATGACATTTATTAGTTAATGACATAATTAGTTGACATGTAGTTGCAAAGTTACTTACTGTTAGTAGAATTTCTAAAGTGGACTATCAAAATAAAGTGTTACCTTCATTTCTAATATTTTTATTTAAATGCGAAAGAAGCGCTGTTTCCGGATCCAAGCCTCAACTCGCTTCACTTGAGAATACTACCTCAGCAGCCGTTTATGAGAACTGTTTATTCATATTAAACATTTAAGCTGAAAGTTTTCAAACTTACGGTCTACACTAGTCTCCATGCTCACAGCGTCCCAAACACAAATAATTTTTCTATTTATTTATATTTATATTTTCATTGTCTGGCTATCTGGGATTTCGGTATGGAGTTAAAGGTTAGGATTATATATTTTTTGGTAGTATTATATCATATTGTGAGTGTATATTAGCACCTTCTGTTGTTTTCTCGTGGTATCTGATAGAAGCGGTGACGCATGACGTCAGACTTAACAAGCGGATAGCGGGCCGAGCGGAGGAGAGTTCACACTCGCTCACATAACCAAATGACAAGGCCAGCGGGTGGCTAGTTTGTGTTGAGTGTGACCCGTGACAGCTGTCTGATATCCAGCGATCTCTGCAGGGCGTCGCATGCGTGACGGTTGGCTATTGCTACAAATATACCCCAGCGACTTAACACTGCTTTTGTGCTCCAGGGTCACATATATTTGTGAAATTTTATTCAGTTAATGTTTATTATTTTATTACAAGTCACTATTTACTTATTCATTCATTAATTTTAATGGTTTTATTTTCAGTTAACAACAGGAAGTCTGGTCCTGCCTCTCATCTTATTGACCATTGCAAGGTCTTTCTGCGTTTGACATTCACCACATCAACCCGGAAACTAGAGTTTTATTGAGAATCTGAGCACAAAAAGCTGAATTTATGACACCATGCGTGTCAAATGACCATATACTACTAATTTGATGTGTTTTCAGGGTTCTCACACTTTGTCTGTCATTTTTCCAGGGATTCAGGATGAGCAGATTTTAGTGTGTCTGGCCCCGCCCACTCACCTCCCACTGGCCCTGCTGTGATTGGCTCTTGAGCTGAATGAGCCAGTCCTCGCTGTCGGCCTCGGCGCAGTGGTGCATGGTGATGATGACAGGCCGGGTCAGGAGAGCTCCAGCAGGACCGCAGCTGACCACCGGACTCAGGACCGTCTCCTGTGTGTCGTCCACCTGCGGCCTGAACACACACACACACACACATCATCAGCACCTGTGGAGCTCGGCTTCCTCGCCGCCAAATTAGGTACTTTCTTCACCGACCTAGCATTATTTTCATCAAGCTTTGGGAAACCCTTCGTGAATGTGATGCAGCAGACTTTGATAGGCCCAGAATGGGTATCCTCAGTCTACTGCGGGACGTGTTAATGTCCAAAAAAACAAAACAAAAATATGACTTAACCCGCAGATTTTCTTTAGTGTAAACTGGTGGTTTATTTACGTGTTTTTTTTGGGGGGGGGGGGGGGGGGGGACCCTTCAGTGCATTTGTTTACTGCTACATAGCTAATTGTGTTTCTGTCCCTTGTTCTAGGTTTTTTTTGTATCTTTTTGTAATGTATTTGAAAATGTATAAATAAAACATTAAAAAAATTATAAAAATAAAACACTTCATACTGACACTATCTGATAACATTCAAAACACAATGATGTGCATTATTTATTAACAGTGTCAGTGAATGTGGTTATCACAAAATGGGCAAATATCTGCCAGTTAACTGTGCCAATAACTGCTCTGTCCAGTGTTATTTTAGTTAAGCCCCGTTCACACCAAAGATAAAGAAAACGATAAAGATATAGTTCTAAAAATCGCTCTCAGTATTAAAGAATAGCAGAGTCCACACCACAGCTATAACGATAAAGGCACAGAGAAACGATATCGTTGGAATCACTTCCAGAATGATTTTTTCCAGCTGATGAACGACAAAATCCTTGACACCCAATCAGAATCATTCCTACTATCACGAGCTGGAGAATTTAAAGCGGCAGACGCGTGTGCGCTTAGAATAAACAGACGATATCGTTCGCTGGTGTGGACGCTAATATCGTTATCTTTATAGTTATCGTTCTTGGTGTGAATGGGGCTTAATCCTTGCATAACATTATAGTATTCAATAGTAATTAGATTTTTTTTTTTTCATTTTTCTTTTTTGTATTTTTAATTTCAAATTTAATCATAAAACGAATAGCTCCAGTTCTTGATTCTGATTGGTTGAGCCGAATTTGAAGTTGTTGTAAATTACTAAATTATTACATTGAATGTACTTTTGTCTTTTTGCAAAAAATTAAAAAAACAGGAAGGGGGCAAAAACCTTTTCACGGCACTGTATTTCTATTTAAGTTTTTGTAATTTCAGTACTTCAACTCTTCATTTCTTTTTTTAGTTAGTTGACACGGCAACATTTTCATTTAAGGTTTTAAGTTTAAGTTAATTATCTAATATGTACAGTATATTTTAATTGATTTAATCTTTATTTCCATCACAGAAACAATTTCTACACTGATTAATTAAAAACATTGATAATATCATTTTACATTTTTTTTTTAATATTTTGCCTTTTTGTATATTTCATCTTTTTTTTTTATCAATTTCTTGTATTACTAAACTAAATATAACAAAATAATAAAAAATATCAAATGAAAATGAGAAATGTTGCCTTGGCAACTAGCTGAAATAAAGTTAGTTTAATTATTTATTCTTCCTTATTTTATTTCAATTAACATTTAGACTTTTTTTGTTATGAACTAAAACTGTTTTTTATAGTTTTATTTTTAATTAACAATAATAAGCCTGGTTTTGCCTTTCAATTAAAATAGCTGCTGTAGAAATGGAAGTCTTAGCTAGTTTTTAAAGAATATTTTGTTTTTATATTTCCCAATTTAATTTTTTTTGTTTAATTTTTTGTTAATATTTCAGTAATTTATTATCTTTAAAAAAAACATTATTTGAGCACATTTTACAAGACACTATTTCTAATTCAAAATTTCATGTGCTACTTGCTGTTTCTTTTTAACTGTATAATTTACTAGCAATTTTTGAGTGAAACTTGTTTCCACACCATTTTTTTTGTATGACAGTTTGTATTTCGTGTATACAGTAGTAGTTGACTGCATGACTATTGACTCATTTGTGTTTGTTTTATTATCTGAGAAGCTTCATGAAGAGGTGAGCGATGAAAGAGCTGCTCCGAGACTGTGTTTGTGTGTGAGGTTCAGACAGGCATTAAATGCCCAGAATCCACTCGGTAGGCCGTTTGTCAGGGCAGATCAGATTACCTCATGCTCTCCTTCCTGTGAACCGTCACGTACATCTCATAGACACGGCCCTGAGGGATGGCACCCGCTGGCACCAACAAGCTCACGCCTGCGGAGAGACACACACACACACACACACACACAGTCAGTCTGCCATCCCATGACCCCTGTGAGCTCTGTGACCCACTTCAGCACACAGAGCAAAAGCCCCAGCAACATCACACACACACACAGGCAGTCTGCCATCCCATGACCCCTGTGAGCTCTGTGACCCACTTCAGCACACAGAGCAAAAGCCCCAGCAACATCACACACACACACAGGCAGTCTGCCATCCCATGACCCCTGTGAGCTCTGTGACCCACTTCAGCACACAGAGCAAAAGCCCCAGCAACATCACACACACACACACACACACACACACACACACACGGGTGTGTTCCTATGATGAATTCACAGACGCTCACTGATTTCTCGTGTCCTTCACCTGAACTTCCCTTTGAGCGACAGTCACTCACCAACAACACAGAAGAAATGCATCGGCTGAGACCGAATCAGCACTCCAGAGACACAGGAAAATCACACAGACCTCAGTCCGGATCGAGCTGGAATTCTGATCATGTTAACATGAAATCAAAATCAGCTCTATTCATGTTCCTGCTCTTATTGTCAATGATTCATCAGTGCACTTTATTTTTTAAATTAATTTTCCTTTAATACAAGTGATCAGTGTAATAATAACAACATAATAAAATTAAATAAAACCAACAAACAAAAGAAAGAAAAATTCCAGATCACTCTACTAATAATAGTAACAACAACAATAACATGTATTATATATATTATATACAATAAATAATAATAATAAATAATTGCTATTAAATATTAATAAATAATAAATTAAATAATAACAAAATACATTTTATCTCACTTAATTAATAAAAAAACAAACATAATACTACTTTTAATACTATAATAATAATAATAATAATAATGCATTCCAGCTCAATTAATTATATATTATGTATTTACACATATAATAAATATAAATATAAATAACTATTATACACAAAAATAATAAAATCATTTTTTATAATTTGAATTAATTTATTTTATTGGCATTAATTTTTTTTTTCACGGCGTGACCCGATTTTCTGAACACCAATAAACTCCCACATTTAACGAGGCGTGGGAAATCATCGCTTCGCTTAAGACTCTTTCTCTGGCTTTCCTCAGGGAATAGCAATGAAGTGCTGCTGTACGGCTGGTTATGAATGACTGTCCGGCGTCAGACGGAGAATGATGCTCCTAATCCCGTTATATACGTAAGCGGCCGTGGTAAGTCACTTTGAACACTGCTTCTGGCTAATTTATGAGCTGCGCTGCTCTCGCGGGAGCCGTAACACTCACGAGGAGCGCTCAGAGAGATCCACTGAGTGTAGAGCTGAGAGAGGGCTCCCATCATTCACACAAACACACTGACTCTCAGGAAACACAGAGACTATACATGTATGTGTCTGATTGAATGTAATATAATTAAACTGCTCCATAGCAAGGCAAATAAGAAATAAGAGTTTGATTTTCTACATTCAGAGCTCAGAGTTTTTCTCTAGTCCGTCCAGAACATTTACTGAAACTGACCTGCAAAACTCATGGTTATGAGATCATAAACTCAAGCTTATTAACATATTAACATACCATTGAGTATCCAGCAGCTTCACGGTCCTGATGAACGACAGTATGAGATACACTGAGATGTGTGTGAATCTCACAAAAACATCACCAGGTCACACAAGAAATAAATACTGTAGGAATTCAAATTTTTTATTAAATAAATTTAGTCTCATTTTTATATATGATAATATAAGCAGTACATATATTTTCATTTATTATTATTATTATCATCATTATCATTATGTCGTTGTTGTTGTTAAATTTACATATATTTCTTTAATTTATTATTTCAGTACATTAAAGGTCAAATATTTCATATAAATGACACCTTAATTCATTTTAAAGCAGATAATGTCAGGATGTTTAAGTATATTAAGAACAAAAAGTGTTCAAATTTCATCATTTTAATTCAAGTGATGAAGGATTTTGAAAGTCTGACAGTGTTGAGCACTACTGTAAAGTTAACCCTGCATGGTGTAAATGTTTGAAAATGATTAACAGTTGCAAATAAACATTCATTAGAAATTTATAAAAGTAATCAAAAAGTAATCAAAAGTAATGTTACATTACTTTAATAAAGTAATTGAAAAAGTTACACTACTATTACATTTTAAATAGGGTAACTTGTAATCTGTAACCTATTACATTTCCAAAGTAACCTTCCCAACACTGGTATCTAATGAATAAATACTAGTATCTCAGAAATAAGTACTAATATCTAATGAAAAAGTACTAGTATTACAAATAAGTACTAGTATCTCAGAAATAAGTACTAGCATCTAATGAATACTAGTTTCTAATGAGTAAGAACTAGTTTCACATTCATAAGTACTAGTATCTAAAAATAAGTACTAGTATCTAAAGAATAAGTACTAATTTATTAGAAAAAAGTACTAGTATCTCATAAATAAGTACCAGTATCTAATAAATAAGAACTAGTATGTAATGAATAAGTAGTCTCTTCTAAAAAACTTGACGAATAAGCACTAGTAGCTAATGAATAAGAACTAGTACTTAATGGAACAGATACTAGTAGCTAAAAAACAAGTTCTAGTAAATGAACAAAGATACTAGTATGTTTTATAGGTGAAATGTTAAAACGGCTTGCCAGTGTGTGTTTATGGGTCAGGCTGTAATTTTCTCTCACACCAGCCTGATCCTCTTGAAAGCGTCTGGCACTGGAAGCCACAGATCGGCACTGACCTGAGTTGGGCACGATCAGATGGCCCCCGAGGGCGTTGAAGGAGCCGAAGGCCGTGCACGAGGGGTCCCAGGAGCGCACCAGCGTCTGTGTGCGGCGGCTGATGGTGTCGCTGTCGATCAGCGCATGCGGCAGTTTGGGCGAGAGTTTGGAGGAGATGTCGGACAGGTCCTCCTGCGGCGTCACCAGACCGGACGAGTTGTACACCTTGATCTTCAGGTTGGGCAGCGGGTCCAGCAGGGGAGAGTTGGTCATGGGGATCTTATCAGCGACGTCGTGCAGAGCGTAAACGGGACCTCTGTACATGGCAGCAGCCGAGGTCAGGTCAGGAGGAGCCGTGAGCAGATCCGCTACACACAGAAATACACATCAAATACAGATCTCATACATCTTAATCTGAGCTTTTACACCTTAACCAGCTGCTACAAGAGACATGTGACACAGTAGCTATGCTTCCATCCAAAGATTCGAATTAAACTGGAATATTGCATAAAACATTTGTGAATAACTAGTAAAAGAGAACAAAATCGTCACTTCCTGGTAAACTGGCACTAAATATCACTAAGAAAACTAGGAGAAGCCACTGAATGTAACACTTTTCATATATGTGACCCTGGACCAAAAAACCAGTCATAACGGTAAATTTTTTCGAAATTGAGATTTATACATCACCTGAAAGCTGAATACATAAGATTTCCATTGATGTATGGTTTGTTAGGATCTGACAATATTTGGCAGAGATACAACTATTTGAAAATCTGGAATCTGAGGGTGCAAAAAAAAAAAAAAATTAAGAAAATCATCTTTAAAGTTGTCCAAATGAAGTTCTTAGCAATGCATATTACTAATCAAAAATTAAGTTTTGATATATTTACTGTAGGAAATTTACTAAATATCTTCATGGAACATGATCTTTACTTAATATCCTAATGATTTTTGGCATAAAAGAAAAATGGATAATTTTGACCCATACAATGTGTTGTTGGCTATTGCTACAAATATACCCCAGCGACTTAAGACTGCTTTTGTGCTCCAGGGTCACATATGATAAATTACTTGTCATACTTCTCATATGATAAATTACTAAAATGCAGTCATTGCTTTCGGAGGTGGATGCTGCTGTTTGGGAACGCAGTCGTGTAAGACAATTATACAGAAATACTTTGACGACAGACTTTGCTCAGGCATTTCAGAATGACCATAACAACATATAGATGCTGTGAACGAGATCGGTCTGCTGCTAGTCAAGTTATCCCGTCTCATAGCGCAAAGTCACATGACTTTTTCGATGCGCTTGGAGGAATTTATTCAGTAAATGTGTTTCCATCGTAGTTTATGCACATTTTTTCTTATCGGATAAAAAGTTAATCCTATTCAAATGTGCGCATACGTTTTTGATGCGCATTTTTAGAATTTATGCGCATCTTGGCGTTTCCATCCAGCGTTTTTTTTATGCGATATTCCAAAATGCACATAAAAATAGGTGGATGGAAACATAGCTAGTTCTAAAAAAATAAAGAATACAAAAGATAAAAAAAATAAATAAACGGTAACACTTTATTTTGACAGTCCACTTCTACTTTGATAGACGTTCTACTAACAGTAAGTAACGTTGCAACTACATGTCAACTAGCAGTCATGAGAGTATTAGTAGACTCTCTGCTTAATATCTTCTAACACTTTATTTTGATGGGTCCACAAACTTTGTCAACTTATTCTACTAACCCTAAACCTAACCTAACGGTCTACTCTGAGAGTTAGTAGACGTGTAGTTGTAAATGAATGAGAATTAGTTGACATGTAGTTGCAAAGTTACTTATAGTTAGTAGAATGTCAAAAGTGGACTATCAAAATAAAGTGTAACCACTAAAACTATTTAAAACATTTTGGTTCATTGAAATAGAGCTAAAATAAAATAAAATCTAAATGTTAGATGAAAAGCTTTAAAATTAGAAATGCTAAGCGAAATATTAATGTTTAGGCACAAACTGGAAATCAAACTCAAATAGTAATACTTAAAAAACAAAAACTAACATAAAAGACAAAATTTGTACATAACCAAATGACTACAACTAAAAGAAAAACAACTCAAAAATGTCATATATAAATGTCAATGTCATATATCAATATGAATATATTCATATTAGTGAAATACTATAAAAGTATATGAATAATTAATTATAAATCTTGCCTTGACAACAAGCTGAAATAAGTTCAAAAGCATCAAAAGAAAAACTGAAAAATAATACTAATATATTAAAGTCAAATAATAATAATAAAATGGCAAAAGTACATAAAATTACTAGAACCTAAAAATTAAATTAAAATTGAAACTATAAAAATAAAATTATATTAATATTTATATATTCATACTAACAAAATACTACAGTGTATATAAATATTATTTTAATTAAATTTTTTTGTTAATTAAAATATAGCTTTAGATGTATCTAATGCATCTATATTTAGATGTTTAAGCAATAGAATTACTAACTGAAAATAAAGAAAAACTCAAACTGAAATAAAAACAAATTAAACCTAAAGTGTAATAAAAAAAATAACAAAAACTAATAAAATCACAAAAGCATATAACCATGGTACTATAAAAAAACCAAACAAATTTAAATTAAAATGCAAACTGAAAATAAAAATTACAAATTCTATTAACATTAATATATCAATATGAATAAAATATGAAACATTGTATAAATGTATAAAATTATAACAAAAATTAATTGTATTAACATTAATTAAAAAACTATAATAGCATTTAAATTATACTAAAACGAGACATGGTTTCTGTTTTCGTGCTGTGATGTGAATGTTAAAGTTCTTTGCACAAACCTGTCACGTTTGTTTAGCATATGCCGGTAAACATCATGAATGCATCTGAGGTAAATCTAGTGGCTAATATTTATTTGCGGCATGATGAAGCGCTTCTCCCTGAAGAGCGCCGTATATTCAGGGGTGAACAAAGCCATCATTAGTCTTTTTCCTCGTTAGTCGCTTCTCTCATTCCGGCAGACAGCGGTGGATGGAGAGCAGATGCTGCTTTACCCTTCACAGGTAACCTAATGAATATTCATGAGCGAGCGGCGAGGGGGCGGGGCCTCGTGACTCCTTCACACTACTGTTAAACTGACAGCGCAAATGAGTCTCCATGACTGCAGGAGTTGTGGAAACCATGGCAACCCGTCGACGTGTGAGCGAGAAACGGCATACGCAAATCAACAGCTAAGAGTGAATGTGGGCCGCTTCGTGTTCATTACAGCCATTTAAAGCTATTCTGTACTGTCCAAATGGCATCAAAACACAATCACAACATTAAAGAAAAGAAGCTAATGTTCTGAGTTCACCTACTTCACAAATCTGACATCATTTACTCATGTTCATGTCATAAAGATATTATTGAAGAACATTTATGTCTAAACAACATTGGACGCCATTCACGTTTATTATATGGACGATCTTTTCTGTTCCTCAGAAGATAATGGTGTTACTTTGGAATCTTTCAGATTATTCTATTAAAGTTTTTTTTTTTTTAAATTATTATTATTTTGTATTTTTATGTTTTCATTTGAATTTTAGTTAGCTTTAGTAAGTTTGTTGTGTTTTGACCTTCTATTATTATTATTTCAGTTTTATTTATTTTAGTACATCAAGTTACTAATACTGTAAATGAAAAAAAAAAATACTTTGGCAACTAACTAAAATAGAATCAATTACAGTTTTTATTATTTCAGTATTTTCAGTATTTTATTTCCAATGTTTTAAATATTTTGAATTAGTTTTTCTTATTTTATTGTTTATTTAATTTTTTACGTTTTATTGTAATTTTACAGTACAGCGAGTTAAAGTTCCAGTAATTTTGATTGCTTTGCCATTTTTTAAAAATATGTAATTTTATTCATTTTAATTTCATTATTATTATTATTGTTTCTTTTTCTCTTTTCTTTATTGTAGTACATCAGGTTAATACTAAATGGAAATGAGAAATGTTGCTTTGATAACTAACTGAAATAAAATAAGTTTACATTTTTTAAGTGTTTTATTACATTTTTTTTTTTTCTTCGACTAAGTAACAAAAATGTTTTTACGGTTTTAGTTTTAATGAACTATTATAACCCTGGAATAAGAAATTCATACAGGTTTGGAGCAACATTTTTCCTTTAAATTAGGTTTTTAAAGTATTAGAAAAGTATTGGAGTATTAGAGTTTTAAATTAATTAAATCGTTAAAAAAAAAAAATTATACTTAAAATATAGATATATTTTATTTGTTTACCTGCATGTCATGTGATCATTAACCAGCATCAGAGAACCATACATTTACAGATGTGTTGTTGAATTATTAATTTATTAACCAAAAGCTCTAATAGATTCAATGGATAAAAATAAGTCATATAAGTAATTATTGTGTTTTCATAACGGATCGCTGCTGTCCTCTTCGTCTCTTGGCCACTATATAGTTTGTGTGTGTCGACGCTGACGTGTTTTGCAGCTGGAAGTCTCTGCAGCCTAATTTCCTCAGTTTCCCCGCCGCTCTCGCTCGCGGGTAATTAACACTCAATGTGCCAGACAGACGCAGCTAATTACAGCGTCATGATAACGTGCAGATTGCCTTGACATCGAGGTGACCGGCTTTCTAATGAATCCCGAGCGTCCTCCATCATTACACTGACACACAAACACAGCTCACTGACAGAAGAGGACGGCGTGCTGAGACTACTAGTGATTTCAATAACTAGCAGCCAGTGGGTTGGTCAGATGAGTAGCTTCGGTTCACTAGACCCCAACCAACTATATAAATGTATAGATGTAGAAATAATTAACTGCTGTGGGCATGTTGGGGTCTAATTTATTGACTAGTAGCTATTAAAAATATTACATAACCACCATTCAATCTCAAGCCTCTTTTGTCAGTGAATTTATGATATTTCTCTTTATGTGTCACTGGAATGATAAAGGAAGTGACAGATCATTTTTCATTCAGTACCATTTTTTATGTTTTTGGCTGGATTTATTTGATATAAAAAAATATAGTAAAAACAGCAAACATATGAAATATTATTAGAATGTAAAACAGCTGTTTTCTATGTGAATATCTGTTAAACTGTAATTTATTTCTGTGATTTTCAGCATCATTACTCCAGTCTTCAGTGTCACATGATCTTCAGAAATCATTCTAATATGCTGATTTGCTGCTCAAGAAACATTTCTGATTATTATCAATGTTGAAAACAGTTGTGCTGCACAATATTTTTGTGGAAACCGTGATACATTTTATTTTTCAGGATTCACAGATGAATAGAAAGTTCAAAAGAACAGTGTTTATTTGAAACAGAAATCTTTTGTAACATAATAAATGTCTTTACTGTCACTTTTGATCAATTTAATTCATCCTTGGTGAAAAAAGTATTAAAAAATTATATTTTAATTGTTATTATTATTGGTAAAATTATTATGTAAACAAAACTGTTCTATAAATAAAAAATTACATAATAATAATAATAATAATAAATTGACTAGTTCAATGACTAATTATTATTAGTAAAATTATTACTTTTTAATATGTAACACTACAGTTCTAGAAATATAAAAAAATATAATTTGACATAATAATAATAATAATTAATTGACTAGTTGGATGACTACTTACATTATTATTATTATTATTATGTCAAATTAATATTTTTTAATATGTGAACACTACTGTTCAAAAAATATTTCAAAAAATAATAATTTGACTACTACTACTACTACTAATAATAATTAATTGACTAGTTGGATAACTTTACAATCTTAAAAGGCTGATTTCTAGCCAATGAAATTAATTAGCAAAAAACAAAAAAAAAAACATTGACAGTTCCAGGCTGGTGACACTTTAGCATAGGGAACACATATTCACTATTAACTAAAGACTTTCCCTCAATAAACTTCTAATTTGCTGCTTATTAATAGTTAAGTTTAGGAATGACGTGGATTAAGGGATCTAAAATACAGTCATGCAGAATAAGACATTATTATGTGCTTTATAAACAGCCAATATGCTAGTAATATGCATGCTTATAAGCAGTTAGTTAGTAATAAGACGAGTAAGATCCCGCTCTCGTACCTGTGCGCGCCGTCTTGATGTTGACCGGCTGGAATCCTCCGTTGAGCGCCGATGAATCCATGATGTCCGAGTCAAAGTCTCGCTGGTTCTTCCGGTAGACGAACAGCGCCACGATGACGGAAATCACCAAACACATGATGACGGCGATGACGATGCCCACGTACAGAGCCACGTCTGGGCCGCTGCAGACACACACACACACACACACACACACACACACAGACCGAGTTACAGCACTTTTATTACAGCTGTGTCAAATTAGGAGGAGATTCTATCTGCGGTCCAATATCAGTCCTCACTGATATTAAAGCAATAAGCCCCAAGAAGCCGTGGTTTACAGTGAATTTATAACAGCTAAGAGGCGTTGTTAGTAGGGATGCGCCGATCCGATATTCATATCGGGTATCGGCTCCGATAGTGCCATTTTTCTTGGATCGGATATCGGTCAGAGAGGGC